TTAGTTCTTAATTAAATTAAATCACTCAATCCAAATCCCCCCTTTTACTAAGTATCATAAAAAGAGAAATATTTCTTTCCATGTGGATACGAACTCTACTACGCTATACTACGTATAAGTGTTTAGTATTGAATTTATTTTGACGCACCGTGACAAAGTGCTCGTCACACAACAAACATTGTCAACAACAAACATTGTCATAAAACTTAGACACGCGAGAAGGAACCATATTTTAGTCTTATTTGAGTTATTTTCTATTAATTGTTAGGGAAAGTTCTTGAAATGTTGAATTCTAAAATAGGACTGCTATGTTTTTTTGAAATAGAAGTAATTTTACTAGATTTATAGCCATCTTAGATTACTCATTAAGGCCAAAATAGTGTATGTACAAGGATGACAATATTTACTACTGTCATTAATATCAATATTTTTCATTGATGACAGTAACAACGCCTATTTTGACCAGAGAAACATAACAATTCTATTTTGAAATTCGGAAGCATGTTTACACCTATTTAAGTCAATTTCCTCCTTATTCTCACTAATAATTTCCTCCTTATTCTCACTATATGCCTGCACGTGGGTAACTATTATGGATATGACAATTGAAGACCGATCCGATGGTTGTGCTGACGTGTAAAGTTGTGATTGGGCGGCTGCCTCCTTTGACCTACTTGGTCGTATATAAGGATGGGCTCAATTCCTTACTTTGACTGTGAATGTTTGTTTAAGAAGTCGATTTCAAGCATGCATGGCAGTTCAACGAGAATCAACGACTCCTACAACGCGTTCATACGTACGTTGCTTCGTCGATGGCATGAATTCTCAGTCACTAGCAGTCACTACCTCCCTAGCTAACTCTTATTTAAAATAAAATACCGGTCAACCATAATCAAGTAGATCAGACAAATTAAGCGCAACTACTTATTAGTAAAGGTCCACAAATAACAATAAAAATAGGATTGTGATTCATGTTATTATTTTCTAAATAAGTGTAATTACTACTATAGAGCTTGGTAAATTAAAAAATGATACTAATTCCTTATCTATAGAATAAAAATATGACAGTCATACAAGAGAGTAATTAATGTGGTAATTAAGAAGCCATATGTAGTAAATTTTAAGAATTTAGATATAAAATTGTTTAAATAATAATATTTCCAAAATAGATAAATAATTTAGAGACGTTGAAAAAAAGTCAAAATATGAAATTAAAATGAACAAAACCGTAAATAAAATCTTGAATATATATATATATATATATATATATATATATATATATATATATATATATATATATATATATATATATATATATATACATACATACATAATTCCAACAAACACAAAATAAAATAGAATAATAATTAATGCAGTTATAAATATGATAAGTGATACGGAGTATGACTCATTTGAGTGATCGGAGTTGTAGTGTATGTCTAGCGTGTAAAATATAAATGAAAACTTTAGACTAGAGTTATAGCCTCTAATGAGGTGACAACTTTGATACTCAATTCAATAATGAGATATTATACCTATCATTCGTATTTGATAGGTCCAAGAGACCAAGACATTATATCACTTTTAATTTTCATTTAAATAATTCAACTACGTACAATATTGCAATTGATTCATGTTGATAAATTAGACCTGGACAAAAACGGGCCGGGCCGCCCAGCCCGCCCGCACAAATGGGCGGGCTTGGGCATATATATTTACCCACCGGGCCGGTCTGAGCCCGGCCCGCAATAAGATATGGGCGGGCTTGGGTTAGGGTGTACGCCCGTTCGGACCGATAAGCCCGGCCCGCTACATTTAGTATATATAAATATATATAAAAAAATTTAAAAAATCATATAATTTTGAAAAAAATAAAGTATTCCCGGGCCGGGTGGCCCGGTGGAATACCTGGCCCGCTCTTATGGGCGGGTATGGACATAGGGTTAGGCCCGTTTTTGCGGGCCGGGCCGGGGCCCGCCCACACATGATGGGCAGAAAATTTATACAAAGCCCGGCCCGAACCCGTTTTTGTACAGGTCTATGATAAATGTATGGTACCTTATAAATACCATAGAATCTACCCTCTAATGAACTTAAAACATACTCCCTCCTTCCCAATTTGATTCGCAAAATTTCCTTTTTTGGTCGTCCCAAAATGGTTTTCCAATTTCTATTTTAGGTATGTAAATAAGAATAAAGTGAGAAATTTACCTTTACTTTTACTTTTTCCCCATTAACTAAAAGGCATCTACATTTAGAAAGATGGACAAAAGTGTAAAAGACAAGTATCATTTATTATCATTTCTTAATCCTTGTGCCAGTCAAAGTTTGCAATTAAATTCGGGACGGAGGGAGTATTCAATTTGTTTGGTGAAGAAATGGTTACAAGAGTTCGATTTATCGGTGCTCGAAGATCTTTATTAAATAAGACTACTAAAATATGAAACACTTTTCAATAACTTATTGGGAAAATGGAAACTAATAATCCAATCTAGTGGTCTTCTTACAATAATCTCACCTTTTCGTTATTCAGGAATAATCCAAGCTTTGCGCCCCATCTTCATTCACTGGTCCATGACCGATTGATGACCCGCTATCTCAAGTTATTTTCTTATCTTTGGGGAAAAAGACTTCAATAGGAGTAAAAGCATGTCTAGGAATGTAAATAGGACCTCAAACTTTTTAACCTTTAAATAGGACGGATTTTTAACGGAAGGACAAAATCACCCTTGGCTTACAAATGACGCTCCCTGCTCATGTCGCTGCAAACTTACAGAACATTCATTCACATCGCCGGTAATCAACAACATCGAAGCCCATGGTGCCGGTGAATTTCACAGTGAATCTTTACTGGAGACGACATCCACCGCCTCATGGAGGATGATATCGGCCAAGGCATCGCCGTCCTCTCGGTGTCCAAGGAGACGACCTGTCGTCAGAGCAGTCACCTGCACGAGTCCACCCAATTGGTCACGGGCGATACTCACCCGCTTGATCTTCTTCTTCCTCTCTCTTTCTTCTTCTTCCTCTTTCCTCCTTCTTTCTTCTACCTTCCTTTTATCCAGTATTTGATGTTCGTGTCTGCTGTGATAAAGCTTTCCCGGATCTTGTTAGCCTTTTGCTCTTGTTTTACTTTCCAATTTGTTCACTAGTCATTACTATTTAATCCGTATTATTTTTGCTTTTCTGGTTTCTATTTCATTTTTGTGAATTCGTTTCTGGAAAGTATGTCATTATTCATTTTGATAATATCTTTCATTTAGAATAGAATGATAAGTATGTCATTGTGAGTTCATGCCTGCTTTTTATTGCATTATTTTGTGTAGTCAAATTAAATTACATTGCCAAAGTGTATTACATCGCTTACTATAGCGAAATTACAACACATCTTGACATATCTACATAGTATATTTTTACTCTATTGTCATTATAACAAACCAAAAATAACCACCATTGATAAGAAGTCAATGACAATGTCATAAGAATGTAAATAAAAAACAATGTCAATAAGAATGTCAATGACAATGTCATAAGAATGTCAATGACAATGTCATAAGAAGTCAATGACAATGTCATAAAATGTCAATGACAATGTCATAAGAATGTCAATATAAAACAATGTCAGTGACAATGTCATAAGAATGTCAATGACAATGTAATGAGAATGTCAATGACAAAGTCATAACAATGTCAATAGAAAACAATATCAGTGACAATGTCTTAAGAATGTCAATAACAATGTCATAAGAATGTCAATGATAATGTCATAAAAATGTCAATAGCAATGTCATAAGAATAACAATTAAAGTGAAACCAAACAATTTTAACAACGTCATAAAATGGAACAATGTAACTACTCTCTACATCAAGTATGAGTAAATTTTATAAATGAAGTGTGAGTAAATTAAGCATGATAAAAAATCGATGAATGACAAATCGAAATAGAAAAAAGAGAGGATGGAAGAAAAAGGTGGGGGGTAGAAAATAAATATTAAAAGAAGAAATGAAAATTGAAAAATAAAATAAAATACAAAAAGTTTTGACATTTCAAAGCATCATCCTCAATTCTTCATGCTTCTACAAAAAATAGCTGATGTGCGCAGCGAAAAAATAGCCGATGTGCGCAGAGAAGAAAAAAGAAGGGAGAAGAAGAAGAGATGTGTTTCCCCGGCGGTGCCCTGCACCTAGTCTTCGATGTTCTTCGTCATCGGCTCGTATCCTTGCTGCCTACAAAACAAGTCATCGCGACAGCCATTCTCTCCAAGCTCTGGCGTTTCATCTGGTTCTCTGCCCAGTCCCTAATCTTCCATTACAACGGCAACTTCGAAAGATCTTTCTATTTCATAGCGGCTGCGTGAGTTGTTCCGCAAACGCTGAAGTATGTTGTATGTGGCTGAGTTTGTCACGAGAGGGAGGATAAGAGAAAGGAGCCGCTTGCCAGGGATGAGATATTAGGGGCAATTTTGGAAACATCCGAAAATTAGGTCCTATTTAGGAGTTAAAAAAGTCAAGGTCCTTTTTAAATACATACGTAAACTTAAGGTTCTATTTGGAACCATTTCTCTTATCTTTGTAATATATTATACTATAAACCCCAACTTATGGTCACATAATGTTTTGCAAAGATAAGAAAATAACTTGGAATAACAGGTCATCAATCGGTCACAGACCATTGAATGAAGATGGGGTGCAAAGATTGAATTATTCCTGAATAATGAAAAGGTGGGAGTATTGTAAGAAGGCCGCTAAAAGGTTGGATTATTAGTTTCCATTTTTCCTAACTTATTTACTATTCAAGTTTTCACATAAGAATGTAACTCTGATCTAGTACATAATTAATTCTCTATTCTAATTTTTTCCATTTAAAATAGTTTTGATAAATGTATCACTACTTAGTACTCATCTTCTTGATAGATGGGCATTCATCCATAACTCCTAGCATTCTACATAATAAAAGATTTAAAACTAAAATATGTCTCTTGGTAATAAATGCATCGCTATATAGAATACTCTTTTTCATTTAATTGTTGAGGTAATAAAATACATCAATATAAATGTTGAGATAAATGTTGCTTATAAGAGCATGCAATATAAAAAACAGACTTGTGATAAATCTGGTGCTAAAGTTACATACAACAACTTGCATAGCTGATAACCAAATAACATTCTCACCAATAATCCAATTCAAGCAACCTACATATCGATCGATGACTATATACTTCAATTCGTATACTCCCTGCATTTCACAATCTTTGACACAGTTTGACTTGTCAAGAATTAAGGAAAAAATGTTACTGAGAGGTAAATTTTACTGTAGAGTACACTGTTTGACACTGTTTGAACATTGTTTGGCACTGTTTGACACTGTTTGACACTGTTTGACACTGTTTTGCACTGTTTTGGTAAAGATTTATTTACCAAATAAGGAAACAATGAAGTGTGTCATTGATTGTGAAACAGCCAAAAAAGGAAAGTGTGACAAAGATCGTGAAGCGGAGGGAGTATGTATATATGTACACCAACTAAGAACAAAAAGTTCTCCGGGGCGCCGGTTCAACTAAGTTCCGGAATGCTTTGCAAACGCGGCCTCCATGACTGCTGCCTCACCACCACATCTCCGCCGTGCTGATCGGAATCCGCCAACAATCTAGCCAAGAGTATTTGATCTTCTTGATTAGAAGTATTACTATTCTCCACTTTCCTCGCCAGCAGAAGCAGCTGCTCCAGCTGCTTCTTTGAGATTGTGATCTTCAACGTCGTAGACGGCGCGGCGGCGCTACTGCTTTTATCACCGCCTACTACCAACGCGCCGCCACTTTCACCCCCACTCTTCTGAATTTTCTTTTCCTGTGATACCCATTCCCACTCATCCCCCTCATCCTCGGCAGCCCACACCATGGATGAAGATCCCCCCTTTCCCTTATTCACACAATTTCCCATTTCCCTTTTAAAAGGAATAATTAGGCTAAGTGTAGAGAAGCTAAGATAAGAGTTGGGTGATAATTAGTAGTCCGTATATGGATTTATATATATATATATATATATATATATATATATATATATATATATATATATATATCTTCTGGCTGGCTGTTGGTGGGGGAAGGTTGTTGGAACGTCATCATTAGATAATTAATATTACTACTATACTTACGTAAGTATTATTAATTGATTAAGTACGTACGTGCATGGAAATGACATTTGAAGACTGATCCAACGGTTGTGCTGATGTGTCAAGTTGTGATTGGGTGGCTGCCCCCTTTGACTGATATCATAAGTATGGCCTCCTTACTTTGACTTTGAATGTTTAAGAAGTCGATTTCAAGCATGCATGCCAATTCAACGAACGAGAATCAATGACTCCCACAACACGTTCACACGTGCGTTGCTTTTTCAATAGCATGGATTTCTAGTCCACTGAAATACACATAAACAGAACAAGCTAAGTTTCAGTCACTAGCTTGCTATAGCTAGCTTCATTTCCTTTGAATGTGACTCAAATTTCCATTAGGATTGATTAAAACATCAACGATATGAGAATTAAACATTAAAATGATGTTGAGATTATAACTTATAAAAAGTTTTTCTTTTTCTCAAATAGAACGTAACTATCACTACTACGAGTACATTTTAATTTTTAAGTTTTAATGTAACAATAAAATTGTACTCCTTATCACTTATTAAAATTGTTGCCTAAAAGTGATCTACTGCAACGGTTGTAAATATTTCGCTACACTAGTTTAGAAAATGTTACATAAAGTGTGATCTTCTTGTAACACTTTTGTTTTCGTTCATAGGACGTTACATTCTTTTAATAAGTGTTACGATCAACTAATTCTAATGTAACACTTCCACACTTGGTACATCAAAATTATAGAGGGAAAAGAAGGGCCAAAGCTAAAAATTTGTGCCGTAATTCCCAAAATGATTTACAAATTTGATTTTTCTTGGTCAAATAGTTTTATTTTATTTGCTTAATTAGGTTGTCAATTTTTAATTATATTCTAATTTGGAGTTTACAACTTCGAAGAGATTTTAATGTACGTGGTTTCTGAATATATAAATTTTAATTATTAAAAATTGAATTACTTATAGATAAGGAGCATTGACTTTTTTTATTGGTTGACCAAAAAATATTGACATTGCAAAACAATTTTGGACGGAGGGAGTAATTACCTAAATACAATTTGCCGCCATTGCATAAAAAAAATTGCAAACTCGGAAGTAGAGCCGTCAAAATGGGCCAAAATCCGCGGGCTGGCCGTTTAAACCCATTTATTGGTGGGTTAGGGTTGTGAATTTCTGACCCATTTAGTTCGCAGGTTTCACGGATCAACCCATGCGGGTTGTGGGTTTAAGTGGGTTCGCCCAACGGGTTGGGGGTTTGCCCGCGGGCCAATATACAAACATATAGTTTTGACTTTTATTATCTTCAATATTGTTCTTTTACTACCAAAATTATTATAATTACAATGAAAAAAATTACAACCATTGCAAAATAATTATTATATCTATAATAAATATTCAAATAAATTGTTAAAACATACTATTTTATGAGAAGTTTGAAACAATATTTAGGAATTACTCGTCATGATTTACAAATAATCAATCAAAAGGTTTAAATAGATCTTTACTTTTATACAATTCAATGAGTATTTTTCTTACCTACCCTCTTATAGTTTTAAATTCTTATATAACTAGTATTTACTATTTTTTAATTAAATTTAGTAAGTATTGGTTCTTAGTATTTTGATTTCTTATACTTGTATTTCCCTTATTACTGCTTACTAATATAAATATATATTCCAGGGTAGTTATTTTTAAAGAATCTTTTGTCATATACGTAGTATTTTTTACATTGGCCCGCAGGTCAACCCGTTCAACCCACGAGTTAGGTGGGTTGGGTTAGGGTTGTAGAAAAATTCTAGCGCATCACTAAACGGGTTGGCCCGACCCAACCCACATAAAGCATTACCCGTCACGGGTCAGGTCGGGTTGGATTGGGTTGACCCGCTCTACCCGGAAGACTTAGTGCAATTAGGGGGTGTTTGGAACTTTTTCTGCTTCTGCTTCTTTTTTAAAGCAGAAGCAGAATCAAAATCAGTTTTCAAAAGCTGGTACCCCCAACTTCTAAAAATATTGATTCTAAGAGTAAATTAGAGCATCAGAATCACTTCTGCATTTCACTCAAACACTCCAACTTTTGTTTCTGCTCCTTAAAGGAGCAGAAGCAATTTTAAGAATCAGATCAAAACACCCCATTAAATTAAAATTTAAACCCTAAAAAAGCCCATACGTACTTCACTTTGTTCTCAGGAAGTTAGAACTTAGAAGAAAACTCTCAACGGCCGGGCAGTTCTCGATCGATGACCAATGACCATCACGCCTAGCTAATTTCTTCTTGTCCATGGAATGAAACCCTTCCTTTCTGGAGCAGCTCGATTCCGCCCTCCCATGGACAAGGTGAGTGCGGTCTCCAAGTGACGTGAGGCATTTAAGAGTAAGTTTTTCAATTCTTAATGTTGGCGTTTGATTGCTTCACTATCTCGTACAATCTGATGTTTTCTCTTACATTGTTCTCTTCGTAAGAGTATTTTTGAATTATTAGTCAAGATTCTATATAATTTGATTCGATGGAGACATAATTCTCTTCTGTTCATGGAATTTCAAAAACTGATTTGTGTAGGTAAGTTCAGGTTTACATTTTGATTAGTATTGCCGGGGGCGGACGCAGAAAAAACATCTTGGGGCGAAAATAATTTTTGAAGGACTCAAAATAATTTTTGGGAAGAGGGAAATTATTTTTCGTATATATATACGCTAAAAAAATTGTTGGGGGCGGTAGCCCCCTTGGGTCTCTACTATGGTCTGCCCCTGAGTATCGTTGTTCTTGTTGAGACAAAAGAGTTGAAGCTCCATTCCCCGTGTGTGATTCTGCAGTTTTGATTCTTGGATAATTTTTCAAGTTTAATTTCAGAGGTATGTTACAGTCCAGTTAACGGCAACCTATGTGTTTCTTCATTGTTTAGTTTTTTTATTGCAATTGAGCGATAAAGTTGAACTACTTAGGCGGTGTATTGTATATGCATTCTGATAGACTTTTTATAATCCATGGACTTATAATAAAGGATGTTTTTACTTGAACGTTAATTCCTCCCAGACCAGACAAGACCAGACCAGATCAGACCAGACCAGACTAGATCAGACCAGCAAATTACAGTCCAAGTAAAAACATTCAAAGTCCACGGACTTTTTATATGAACGACATTATGGTAGACTTTTATATGGAATTGTATAAAAAAAGTATAGATTTATATGGACTTTCATAAGTCTATAGACTTTTGTATTAATAAAATTTGTAATCTTGAGTCCGGCAGTTTAGAAGTTTTGTTAAGAGGGGATTGCTGCAAACGAGACTCTCTTCATACGTTATGGATAAACATAGCAGTAAAGTCACTCCTAAGGGCTGAGGTTGCCTCAAAGCTCCAGGCGGCCCTACCTTTGCCTTTTCGTTTTTGGAATTGCTAAGTTTGGCAATTTGTATAGGCATTTTTATAGCTAAATAGCAATAGTGATGATAGCTGTTTTTAGACTCTTGCTATTGAAAAGGATAAGAATCATAAGATCGAAAATGTATTTATATATGCACATGATCTTAACTCTTAAATCATCCCCACCTGCAATTCAAGTTGAAATGAAATCATGTAGTAGTATTGTACAATATAATAATAAAAATTACCAACGATGATCAATCCGTTTCACAAAAAAAATTGAAACAATATTTTCTTCTACTAAAACAATAGATTGGACATTATTCATCTTTATTGTTGTCATCTCACTCATTTGTCCACATATGAGTAGCAATATTCATCCTCCATTTATTAGCTTTTGCTCTTTGCTGATCTTGTGTTTGAAAATCATCCCATCCAAAATTTTCCTCTATATCACTATCTTCTTCTGGGTGTGGAGGAAATTTATCGGACCCGCACTCACGCCGAAGAAAATTATGTAATCCTGCACAAGCCAAAACTAACTTCGCTTGTGTTTTATACGTAAAGGTGGTGCTGATTTGAATACTGTGAAGCATGATTTAAATATTTCAAATATTCTTTCAATAACGTTCATTAGAGAAGCATGACGAAGATTGAATAACTCAACTGCATTAACAGGGTGATTTCCTTCGCCACCAAGATCTTTAAGGTGATATCGGGTCCCTCGAAATGGAGCTAAAAATTGACGTCGATTTGGAAACCCTCAATTCCCTAAATAATATTTACCTATGCATGAAGTAGTTATATTAGTATGGTATATGATCCGTAAATATAACTACTATTAAGAGATTGTAAAAGCATATAAAAGGGTACCTGGTAGCACTTTGAGACCATTTTGCCTCGAAATTGCATTATTTAACACTTAAGAATCATGAGCTGAACCCTCCCAACTGCTAAGCACTTTAGAAATTGCCTCTCTCTTGATTCTCTCTTCTCCATTAAATAACAAATTTTATCAAAACTCTTATAAATTTTATTAAACCTCATTGTCAAGCTCTCAATAACCTCTGTGTGACTATTAGGTTCCTTTGTTCTTCTATTGTTTTCAAAATCATTTCTACCCCTTTTTCCTTTAGCTTTATTGCTTGATGAAGGTGGATACTCTATATTTCTACTTTCATCTTGTGGAAGATGTGAAGAGTCCTTCTAGTGGGATGACACATTTTCAATTAGTGTGAACATGTTAGTATTTGGATCAAAAAGTAATCCATCAATGCCACCAATTCTACCAGATTCATCATCTACTCCCAACACTGTAGCATCTGTATTTTCACCAAGACAAATTGCACCCATCCTAGTTGCAGTTCCATTTCCCACTGCGATTCTCAAATCCTCGTAGTCCGGAAAAGTTTCTGACCGAAGGTTCGCATGCTCCGGATGTGACTGATATATAAAAAATATAAGATTTGTGGTTTACGATGTTATATATATTATATAAAATAGAAACACACATGAATGAAAAATATGTTCACACCTTAATGTAATCAATCCATATTTCTTCGGAATCTGTAAATTTCTTTGTGATTGCATCTCATCCAAATCCAGAGTTGTGACGAATAAGTTGAGAGTAATTGGAATATTGTTTTTTAAACCATTTCACTCTACTTTGGTAATGAATAAAACTAATATCATGACCAAGTTTTTCCTTAAGTTTAGGAAGGAGATTGGTCTCTACTGTTTGTTTACTTATCAAATGCACCATTTGTATCGTGTAAGCCAAGTTTGGCAATTTCAACCATTAGCTGTAGTAGCAATACATTACTCTCTTCTACGGTCCAAATTTTATAATTCTTTCTTTTCGCATTACCTTGCGAATCGCCCATCTATAAAATATGTAAAATCAATCAAGCAAACAATAAATGCAAACTCATACCACTTTGCCATCTAATATTTTGCCATTTTGACAGATAATTTGGTGCAGTTAACTTAAAAAAATCTTTGACTAAAATATTTTTTTGGATAAACTAGACTTAATGAAGAAACTGCTCAAAAAATTTCATCAAAATATTCCATGGGGAACCGTCCCAAATGATGGCGTTCGGATGGCGGCTCCTGTCCGAACAGGTGAACAAGAGCATTTCTCTATGTCTATACACACACACACACAAGAATGAAATAAAATAAATGGTTAGTCCGTAGTTTAATAGAAGGGGGAATCGAAGGACTTATTTTTAAAAGTGGCTCTTGATGATCTGATACCCTTTTTAAAACCAAATATTAGGCTCATAATAAAGTTGAACCACATATGTTAGTGTTCAAATTTATGGGTTCGTGATATTAATCATTTTTATTATTTGTTTATAACTCTGTTTGTAAGAGAGACAATGTTGATTTACGGCGGGGGACTGGGACATGTTGATTTGCTTGTTTATGTTTTTCTTTTCTTAAAAAAATGGAGACTGTTTTTGTTTTTTTTTTGCTGCTTCTCCACTCTGTTTTCAGCTTTTACTTCGAGGCATAACATTGTGTAGGATTTTACTTCTGTTTTTCAATTTTATCTTAGCCAATTCAATGATTCAATTATATGGGTGTTTGCTTGACAAAGTATGGCCCGTTAGTTGTCGACGCCACTGCAAAAAGTAATGATGTTTGCTTCATATAGTAAATCCTTGAAATATACCTGCAACTGATGTTCGGTAATAAATATTTTTCTACCTATAAAAATGCATAAAATGAGGTTGTGATATAACACAACAATTTTTGTACAAGAACTTAATACATTTTATGTTTCAAAAGATCAAGTGGTATGGGTTTGCATTTCTTGTTTGCTTGATTGGTTTTACATATTATGTAGATGGGAGATTCGCAAGGTAATGCGAAAAGAAAGGATTATAGAACTTGGACCGTAGAAGAGAGTAATGTATTGCAACAGCTAATGGTTGAAATTGCCAAACTTAGCTTACACGATACAAATGGTGTGATAAGTAAATAAACGGTAGAGACCAGGCTCCTTTCTAAACTTAAGGAAAAACTTGGTCATGAAATTAGTTGTATTCATTACCAAAGTAGAGTGAAATGGTTTAAAAAACAACATTCCAATTACTCTCAACTTATTCGTCACAACTCTGGATTTGGATGGGATGCAACCACAAAGAAATTCACGGCTTCGGAAGAAGTATGGGTTGATTGGTGGGACCAACCAAGATGTATGTCATCCGACTCGACCTCATGAAGGTGTGAGCATATTTTTCATTCATGTGTGTGTCTATTTTATATAATATATGTAACATCGTAATCACAAATCTTATATTTTTTATATATCAGTCACATCCGTATCACGCGAACCTTCGGTCAGAAATTTTCCTGGACTACGAGGATTTGAGAATCGCAGTGGGAAATAGAACTGCAACTAGAATGGGTGCAATTGGTCTTAGTGAAAATACAGATGCTACAGTGTTGGGAGTAGATGATGAATCTGGTGCAATTGGTGGCATTGATGGATTATTTTTTGATCCAAATACTAAAATGTTCACACTGAGTGAAAATGCATCATCCCACCAGGAGGATTCGTCACATCTTCCACAAGATGAAAGTAGGAATATAGAGGATCCACCTTCATCAAGCAATAGAGATAAAGGAAAACGGGGTAGAAATGATTTTGAAAACAATAGAAGAATAAAGGAACCTAGTAGTCACACAGGAGTTATTGAGAGCTTGACAATGGGGTTTTTAATAAAATTGTTAAGAGTTTTGATAAAATTTCTCAAGTGCTTAGCGGTTGGGAGGGTTCAACTCATGATTCTAAAGTGTTAAATGATGAAATTTCGAGGCAAAATGGTCTCAAAGTGTTACCAGGTACCCTTTTATATGCTTTTACAATCTCCTTATATTAATTATATTTACGGATCATATACCAAACTAACATAACTTTTCATGCATAGGTAAATATTATTTAGGGGATTGTGGGTTTCCAAACCGACGTCAATTTTTAGCTCCATTTCGAGGGACCCGATATCACCTTAAAGATTTTGGTGGCGAAGGAAATCTCCCTGTTAATGCAGTTGAGTTATTCAATCTTCGCCATGCTTCTCTAAGGAACGTGATTGAACGAATATTTGGAATATTTAAATCACGCTTCACAATTTTCGAATCAGCACCACCGTTTACGTATAAGACACAAGCAGAATTAGTTTTGGCTTGTGCAGGATTACATAATTTTCTTCGGCGTGAGTGCCGGTCTGATGAATTTCCTCCGAACCCAGAAGAAGATAATGATACAGAGGAAATATTTGAATGAGATGATTTTCAAACACAAGATCAGCAAAGAGCAAAAGCTAATGAATGAAGGATGGATGTTGCTACTCATATGTGGACAAATGAGTGAGATGACAACAATGAAGATGAATAATGTCCAATCTATTGTTTTAGTAGAAGAAAATTTTGTTTCATTTTTTTGAGAAACGGATTGGTCATCGTTGGTGATGGTAC